AAATGAACGAAATTTTTTACAAAACAAACGAGTTGCAAGTGACAAATTATACAAAGTTGAGGAATTAAAGTTGCAGTTTACATATTGACATTTAAAAAAATAAAAGGGTGGAAAATTCATTTTACAAAGTAAATGAGAGAAAATTATATTTATATATATATATATATATATATATATATATATATATATATATATATATATATATATATATATACACTAGCCGTTACCCGCGCACAGCGGCGGGGACAAATAGCCTCTTTCAACGATAGTTTTTAAAGAAAAATGTTATGTTCCAAAAGAAAGTTCATGTCGTGGGTGAGAGGAAGGGCGGTAGTCGTGATAGTGGTTGTTGAAGGCGGAAGGAGGCCGAGCGGCTGTAGTGGTGGTGGTTATACTATCTTGGTTACTGGTTATGGTTCTTCGAGAGAATGTGCGTATATTTCTTACTTTGAAGGGATTACGAAGATAGATATTATGAGATGGCTTGTTACCAATGTGAGAGAAGAGATCCTCTATAAATTGTTGATATTGACCGCTTCAAATGGCTGAAGTGTTGAGATTGACGGGTTCAATTTGCAAATGAATTCTTCTATTAATTTGATACAAGATTTTTAGAGGATAAAAGATAGGGTTAAAGTTTTATATTGTTATATTATAAATGGGTTGTACTTCAAGCTTAATAGTTTGGACGTCTTAAAAAAATATTATTATTATATTCAATCTATTTATAGAAATAGTTAGATTTCTTTTATAAGTAGTAAAGATATATATATATATATATATATATATATATATATATATATATATATATATATATATATATTAGGTTCTATGGAAAACAATAAACCCTAAAAAACCCTAAAAATCATAAAGTGCATAAAATATACTTAGATATCACAAATCTTTTTTTTACTTATATTCTTAAAAATCACAACTTTTTATATTTTGCTGAAATTTTTTCTGAAAAAAAAAAACAAAAATAATAAATACTAAATAATAAATAGAAATATCGATTATTTAATTTCTTTCTTCAACGAATTTATTAAAAAAAATGCGATTTTTCAAGAATGTAAAGTCAAAAAAAAAAATTGTTATCTCTAGGTATTTTTTATGCATTTTATGATTTTAGGGTTTTTTTTGTTTTCCATATAACTCATATATATATATATATATATATATATATATATATATATATATATATATATATATATATATGAGTTCGATTGAGAAAATAAAAAATATTGAGAATGGTGGAATCATTCTCAACCACGCATTTATTTTTACCGCAAAAGATTTCATCATATTAACGGAAATGGAAAATGAATAGACATGTGTTTTCCAACAAAACATGTTTCCTTAAACTATATCAATCATTACCTTAATATAAAAAAAATAGTTTTTTTTGTTTTTTATTTTTATTTTTAAGAAACTATTTTTATCGAAAAATGATTTTAAATATACCAAAATTCATGATTTTTTATTCTCTACAAATAGACATCCATATTGATATAATTTTAAGATAAAATAAAATTTTTATTTTTTTATATTTTCAGTTATCGTTATTCATAAGTGATTAAAAATGCATCAGGTTTTATTATAGTACTTTCATTATTCACTCTTGATTAAAAAGTATGATTAATTTTTTTTTACAATTTAAGTATCATTCATATATAAATATAGTATATAATAAACATAAATATTCATATTTAAATATTAGACAATGCATTCGCTTGTGAATATTAACATGGTATATTCACTTCTGAATATTAGATTGTATATTCAATTATGAATATTAAATGATATTTTCATATGTGAATATTACATAGTATTACATGGTATATCACATGTGAATATTATAGTATATTCAAATATGAATATTAAAAGGTATATTCACTTGTGAATTTATTCACATATGAATATTACAAGGTATTTTCACAAATATATATAATTTGTATATGTTATTCACATATGAATAACTTACAGACTTGCATATTTGTTTTATGTTTTTTAATAATCATACATTGATTCAGGTCAGAAAACATATTCATATGTGAATATAACGTGGTAATTTAGTTTACGCATTTCATCAAACAGTTGGAGTGCATACAAGTAAAAAAATGTTAAAAACATGATACTTTGGCTGGTGGGGGAGTGTTCCTCAAGAGATGTTGGTCATGTTGATTGTAGGAAGCTACAATGTGGTGGTTTCTCATCGTCGGCGCCGTCATCTGCTCCTACTCCAACTTCACATTATGTTCCCATTACACTAGTGATTGCCATGGAAATCAAGCCCTGTAACGCTACTTATTTTCTTTTAGTGGTCGTCGGAGAAGGATAAAGATGAAGTTCGAGGTCGTCGTTGTCTGAGATGGTGACGATAACTCTAATCGGAGTTGGATCTGCAATGATGGTGCTAAATCGAGTGCTAAATTGTATCCTGTAACGGCGGTGCCAGATTGTGATCATCAAGTGGATTCCATGACCTAGATTCACGCTTGCTTATGTGGTAGGATGAGAGATGTAGTGCTAATGTGTAGATTAGAGACGAATATATTGATGGAGTCCAAGACAAATTTGCTACCGCTCATTAATACATTTGGATTATTTAAAAGTTTGTCACCGTGCATTTTTTAAGCTCATTAAATGATTGGTTGAGAATGGTTCCCTTATTCCCAACTTTATTTTTCAATTAAACCCTCCTATATATATATATATATATATATATATATATATATATATATATATATATATATATATATATATATATATATAGAGAGAGAGAGAGAGAGAGAGTCAAGATCAAATAAGAAGGAAATTTTTGGTAGGAAGGTAAGAAGTTTTTTTTTCTACATATTTTTTTCGCAAACAAATAAAATGAATCATTAGATCATTCATTTGTAATATGATTCACAAGAAAAAATTCTCAAAAAAACATCTAGATGATTCATTTATATAATGATTTTTTTGTTATTCACTAAAATTGTTATAAAAGTGAATTTTTTCTTAATTTACTTAAAAATGAATCATAAAGATGTTTTTTGAGAATTTTTTCTTGTGAATCATCTTACAAATGAATCATTTACTGATTCATTTTTTTTGTTCGTCAAAAAACTATGTAGAAAAAAACTTCTTACCTTCCTACCAAAAAAAATTTCTTACCGGATCTATATCCTATATATATATATATATATATATATATATATATATATATATATATATATATATATATATATATATATATATATATAAAATTTCTTAAATCTCAATTATGTATAAATTGTTTTATGTTACATATAAATTGGAATTATTAAACTAAAAGGACTTTATTGAAAATATGTTTAATGACTTTGGTGATCGGGTGGGGCCATAACCCCAAATAGCCCTTTTTTTTTTTTTTCTCAAATTTAACATCATGTTTTCCAATTTGTTATAATTCTGACCACTTAATCGGTCAACTATGTTAACGTGTCAGTTTTGATGACATGACATTCAGACATGATATGCTAACGTGTTAAAATTGAATTTTTTTTCCACATAAAACACTAAGTTTTTATTTTTTTCGATTTTAACACTATATTTTTTTGTTCCAAATCGAACATCATTTATCAAATTTTGTTTAATTTTGACACTTTTCCATTTGAAACCGTATAAATATATTTTTTATTACATTTTAAACTGTATAAATATATTTTTTTCGTTTAAAAACCACATTTTTATTTAAATACAATGTATTTTTTTCATTCAAAGCATAATATATAAATATATATTATTTGTATCATGAGAATCAAACTAACCATAAAATTTTCACGGGTTGCAAACTTGACATCCGGGTTTTGATTGGTTACACGTCTTCAAACCTCCAAATTTATTTTAAAGTTGCGTATTTAATATAAAATACAGTTTTTATGTAACTAATACATATTTATACATAAAATTATGGTTTGAATGTAAATAAATAAATAAAATAAAATAAAATTTAAAAATAAAAAATAAAAAAAATAAAAAAAATAAAAAAAAACTTGTGTTTTTACAAAACAATGGTTTTAATTAAAAAAAAACATTTATACGGTTTAAATGTATTAAAAAAATATTTATATGGTTTCAAATAGAAAATTGTCAACATTGAACAAAATGTGAAAAAATGATGTTCAATTTGGAACAAAAAAACATAGTATTAAATTTGAAAAAAAAAAATTAAACTTAGTGTTTTTTGTGGAAAAAAAATATTCAATTTTAACATGTCAGCATATTATGTCAGCATATCACGTTACCATGTCACGTCAGGATATAACTTAATTGACCGATCAAGTAATCAGAATTATAACAAATTGGAAAACACTGTATCAAATTTGAAAGAAAAAAAAAAAACACTATCAAATTAGAATTTTAACGTAAACTGAATGTTTTTTTTTATTTTTTCCTATTTTCCTTTTTTGAAAAGAATAAAAATCAACGGATTTTTGCAAAAACCTCTATTTCTAATGAGACACGAATGAAGAAGGATACGTTATTTGATACCATAGTTGCAATCCTTATTCTTGGAAAGTGGGTAGAAGTGAGAAATTTCCAGGTAGCTCGTTGGATTGTATCAAAAGTCCAAACTTGATTATGTGAACTTTACATACTTTTTGCTAGTTTTTTCATACTGGGTTTTAGGCTGGTTATTCGCAAAAAAAAAAAAAAAATCAATGCCTAAAAACGTTGAATTTGGATACCGTGACTTTGTTGTAGAAAATCTTAATTTAGACATAAAACTATGAAAAATATCCACAAAAATGTATAAAAATTAAGTCCAACAATTCAAATCAAAAATTAAAAATTAGAAGAAGAATATTAGAATACACCAACATGGAGGCAAGTTTGTCTCTTCTCTGAATGACCAGTATTAGAACACGCTTTAAAAATTTATATTCCTCCCCTCCATTCTCCATGCACAAGTTGACTTCCAGACCCTTTTCTGTATATATCAACCCCTACCCTTCCCATCGTCTCCTCCATCATCTCATCTTAAGCTCACATCATTAATGGCTTCCACCAGTACCATTTGTAACCTCCTCTTAATTTCCCTTTTCATTGCACTATACACATCCTCTGTCGGCGCTGCAACCGCCACAGTCTGCCAATACACCCCTTATCCTTCAGTCTGTCAAGCATCCCTCCCCGTCAGCAACTCCTCCGCCACTGTCTATGACTACGGCCGCTTCTCTATTCGGAAATCCATATCCGCCGCGACTAAATTCTCCAATTTGATCGATAAATATCTTAGCAGCTCCGCCTCATTAACAACCGGTGCAATTCGTGCACTTGAAGATTGCAAGTACTTGGCCAGAGTAAACGTGGAGTTCCTTTCAAGCACTTTCCAAACAGTCAACACCACGCAAAGTGTCCTTTCGGATATCAAATCGGAAGACACTCAGACGATGCTCAGCGCCATTTTGACCAATACAGAAACATGCATAGATGGCCTCCAAGCAAACGCCGGTTCATGGAGCTCTAAAAATGGCATTGTGGCTCCCATTAAAAACGATAACAAATTGTACAGTGTTTCACTAGCCCTTTTTAACAAAGGATGGGGTAGTAGTAAAAACAAGAAATTTGGTTTCTCGAGTAAGAAAAATAGCGGTTTTAAAAACGGTGGATTGCCACCTTTTAAAATGTCGGAAAAATCAAAGGCGGTGTTGGAGACGGTGGGGCGGAGAAAGCTTCTTCAGAGTACTGGTGGCGCCGGAAATCAGTTGGTGATCAGCAATATTGTAGTGGTTAGTCAAGATGGGACTGGGAACTTCACCAACATTACTGACGCCATTAACTTTGCTCCCAACAATTCTGTTTCCACTGCCGGATATTTCCTGATTTATGTGACAGCCGGAGTTTATGAGGAGTACGTCAACATTCCCAAAAACAAGAAGTATCTGATGATGATCGGAGCTGGTATTAATCAGACGGTGATAACCGGGAATCACAACGTCGTAGATGGCTGGACCACCTTCAATTCCGCAACATTTAGTAAGCATCCTACATCCTGCATCCCTACCTTTTAAATTTACCATTTGCCGATTTTTTATATTTTTACAATATATGTATACACGATAAAACATAATTTAAAAATAGATATTATTCTAATGATAATTCAGATTTCTGAATTAATTGATACTATAAGAAATACAATATGAACACGATCAATTTGACTTGTTTAATTACTTCTAAGAACAATTCTTTTGTTTTACTTAATTAAACCCATACAGCTTATAAACATGCTTACCTAACACCACTCATTTGATAACTAGCCATTACGAAACACCTCTTAAATTTTGTTATTATTCTACAAAAAAGGTGATGAAATGTAATATGTTAATGGTAGATAATCTAGAAGAAATTCTCAAGCTATTTTAATACATTATCAAATACGCCTAGCCTCTTTGTATTTACCAAAAAAGGAGCTTAAATTTAATTATATTTATTTAAAGTTTTAAAGGTACCAATTATTGTATTAATATAAATTTCAGAGGATTAGGCCATATGCACATAATTTATTCCCATTGTTGATTTGCATCAACTAATTCATAAAATTTTACATTTCAAATCTGTACAGTCGTGGTGGCCCCTAATTTTGTGGCGGTGAACATAACAATCCGCAACACCGCCGGAGCAGTAAAGCACCAAGCCGTCGCATTACGAAACGGAGCAGATTTATCGACGTTCTACAGCTGCAGTTTCGAAGGGTACCAAGACACATTATACACTCACTCCCTCCGTCAATTCTACAGAGAATGCGACATTTACGGAACTGTAGATTTCATATTTGGAAACGCAGCGGCGGTTTTCCAAAACTGTAATTTGTACCCACGATTACCGATGTCTGGTCAATTCAATGCAATCACAGCACAGGGAAGAACAGATCCCGGGCAAAACACCGGTAACTCGATCCAGAAGTGTATCATTCGAGCAGCTGACGATTTGGCATCGAGCAATAGTAGTACCCTGACTTATTTGGGACGACCCTGGAAGGAGTATTCACGAACAGTGTATATGCAATCTTTCATGGATTCATTGATCACTCCGGCGGGGTGGTCGGTTTGGTCAGGTGATTTTGCGTTGAATACTTCTTACTATGCGGAATTTAATAACTCCGGCCCAGGGTCGGATACTAGTAAGAGAGTTACTTGGCCAGGATTCCATATTATCAACGCCACAGATGCGGTGAACTTCACGGTGTCTGCTTTTATCTCCGGAGATGGGTTTTTGCCTCAGACCGGTGTGCCATATGACGTTGGGCTATAAGCGCCGGCTGCCGGAGCAATCATGTATAGAATTGATGGATATCATCAAATGCTATACTACTTTTTTTTTTTTTTTTCTTACAAATTCTATCCGATTCTTTGCCTTGTAATTTAATTCTATCAAGTTCCAATTAAATGTTTAAAATCAATTTATTTGGAAAACGTGCTTTTTAGCTTTTTTTAAAAACTAATAAGTAAACAGATAATAAGTTAAAAAAAGTGGTATTTGATAAGCATTAACTTTTCAGTGAAAAAACCGACTTCTTTAGAAGCCAGGAATTCCTGGTTTTTCCAAAAAGTCTACAAAGAGTAAGAAGCAATCTCAAACACTCCCTAAGTAATACCTCAACGTTTTTTTTATCATTTATCTATTTTTGTTTTTTCGAACATACAATTAAAACATTAACATAATAGCTATTCAAATTCAGTATCAACTGTCAAGTAATACGCGACTGACTAACGTTCTCAATATTACACAATTCATAAAACATTTAGAAATCATGAAATGATATAGACAGGTAACTTATAAAAATAGGTGAATTGATAAAATTGGATCTCATCCGACACACATTGGAAGGATCAAGTCGTTTCTCTGCTTATTCTGCATGAAAATCCTTAGCATGACAGCTACAGGCACAGGATTACATTAAAAGAGTAACTCAAAACTTCTTGATGAAGTCATAGATATGTTCGCTAACTTCATGGGGCTTTTCTTGATTAATAAAATGAGCAACTCCCTCCATTATCACAACTTCTTGCAAGAAAGGAACATGCTTAACGAATCCCCCTTTGTGTATAAAGTCCTTCACACCAGGGGTATTATAAGTCAGGTCCAGGTCTCCCACAATAAACTTAACTGGCACCTTTATCTGCACACCCGTCCATGGCGCCATTAATTCCCAGTTTCTGCAACAAATTAAGTACATTCCACAGTTCAGGCTAAATATATATACAAGAGCATAAAAAGAGTTGGGGAAGGGATGGGAAACTTACAGGTCTATAGCTCGATAGTAGTTCAATCCACCAGTAAAGCCTGTGCGATTAAACTTGGTTGCATAATAATTGACGTCGTCTTCTGACAACCAGGAGGGAAGAGTGATCTTAGAATTGGGTTTACCCCCGAATCCAACTTCTTTAGGCACACAAAGCAGGCCTGGATTACGAGAAGTCAGAAACTTTTTTATAACTTGTGCTGTATCTACACGAGCAAGCTCTTCTTCGGCTTCTCCAGGTTGCTACATAAACAAAACAGTTCACAGATCGATAAATTGGATATATCCTCTGAGTTCAGTGATACATGACGAAAACAGACAGATTTTGGCAACTCAACCAGATACAATAAATGATTAGAAATATATCCAATTTAGGTAAAGCGCGATGTTTTTGGATTACCTGAAATCGGCATATGTAATAGTCGTTTCCAAACATGGCGCGCATCGATTCAATTGGCTTTCTGACCGGATTTCTAGGACTAAATACAACACTCGTATTCACCAACGCCTTAATCCGATCGGGCCTTAACAAACACAAGTTCCACGCCACGTTGGCCCCCCAATCATGACCCACAAGAAATACCTGTTTCAGACCTAGGGCATCGAGTAAACCCACCAAGTCGCCGACAACGTGGAAGGCGGTGTATTCGGCGGCGGAAGGAGGGGCATCGGTGTCTCCGAAGCCGCGGAGATCAGGGGCGATTGTTCGGTAACCGAGGGCAGAGAGATAGAACATCTGGTGGCGCCAGGAGTACCAGAGTTCGGGAAAACCGTGGAGGAAAAGAACTGGTGGACCATCGCCGGGAATCTCTGCTACGTGCATATTTATTCCGTTGACCGGTATCTTACTGTGTTTTATAGTTTCCATATTTTAGAGTCCTCTCTCCCACTGAGAAGTGTGAAGTGTGTGTCTGTGATAAACGAGATCTGCTCTGAGCCTCTGACTATTATAAGAACCGGCCGGCCGTGAACCCAAAAAACGTAGAAAACGGTCCATATCCATGAATGATGGATGGATGATACATCTTGTAGAAAATGGTCCATACCCACGAAATGAACTGAAGTAACCATATTATTATCACATTTCAATTAACAAATATTTTTTGATTTTTAAAAAACTAAATACCAAGTCTGGAATATAACATTTAGGATCCGACTTTGACCTGGTCACCTGCATGATGAATTTGACTTCTTAGACTGTGGTGTCCCTCCTATAGATAGTATTTCAGAGAATGTACTTGGCATTTCGGACTTAAGGACTCTATCTCGGACTTACGCATTTTGGACTTAAGAACTCTCTATCTCAGACTTAAGGACTATTTGGGGCATTTTAGACTTACATTTGTAAAATCCAAAATCATAGAAATTTAAAATTTTCAAAAACCAATTTCAACCCTAAAGTATTTACAAAACTATTGTTTCAAAGGTATAAACATTATCAGAGTTTTTTCCAAAATCCAATATCAACAAAAGTAGAAAAATGTACACGATCACGCATTCGTTTTTCCGCGATCATCAGAAGCACTTGAAACAGTAAACTAAAAATGTAAGTCAAAGCTTAGTAAATTCCCCCAAGATACCAACACACACAACATATAACAGAATATATATTGGAGCCACAGCTAACAGACTGGATTACCCATGAGCCAACACTATGAGTTTGGCTTGCCTTTTAGGCTCACATCTCATATCTGGCTTGCCCTTCACGCCCACAGCTTATGGTTGGATTGCTCCCATGTTTGTTGGTTACCGCGCGAAATAGTACCACAGTAACTCAACCAAACTATGTCGACATATACATAACATAAAACATATATCCAGCAAACAAATAACATATAACCAATCATCAGACAAACAAGCGGATCTACAAATTACTACCGCATAGCAACATCTTGGATCAGAATTCAAGATCTATTGGGTCGGCATTTGTATTTAAGGAATTAGGGAGACGTGTACTTTCAGAATATGTTATTATTTTTACAAAATGACATACCTTTTTGCGCACTTATTTTTATAGTTTTCGAATGATTTTGCTGATTTTTCTTATATATTATAATACAAAATCTTGTATTTTCATCATTGACAAAAATTATATATATCTAGTCTGTCATATATGATGTTCATCGGGTTTGGAATCAATGATTTGGTGAAAAGTTTGCGATTGTTACAATACTTCGATGTAGTCATAACAACAAAGTTTTTGATGCTTTCAAACTGCACATTAGCATCATCTTTAGAGTTGCAAAGCCTAGAAAAGTATATATTGTATTATTTTTTTTATAGGATTGTTGATAAGTCTTTCTTTGGGATTACAATAGGAAGTTATAAGATTAAATTCAACTAGGTTGGTTTGTTATACAACCATCTCTGTTTTCTAATGTTTTTCTAGTGTAATGTTTTTCTAGCATTTTTTTTTTTTGGAAAGGGAACTTCCCTAACGAGGGTTTCCGGGCCAGTTTTCGCGCACCGACTAATCCCCCGCTGCAAACATAAAGCTTTGTCTCATGCCCTGGAGTCACTGCAGGCGAACCTCCATGGCCACAAGGGCTGAGTGGTGTCAGGATTTAAACATGGGTCAATAGGTTATCCACCATATCTTCCACATGCCTTACCAAGTCACCACAACCCAAGTGGTTCCCATAGGCATTTTACAAGTTGGCATAAAGGTAAACGTCTTCTCCAAGATTGTAAACTCAAAACTGAAGCTCAGGACTAAAAGCTACTTCGTTGCCTCTTATGGACCAAATCTTCTAGGAAAACCGTATCAGAGTTCGTGCTTCGAAACATCTTACTGGTTAGGGATGAAAGTGGGTCCAAACCCGAACCGGATGGATCCGGACCCGGAAAACCCGGAACCGGTTAACGAGATTTTATAGAACCGGAAACCGGATCAGTATATAGGAACCAGTTTTGAGTACAGTTCCGGGTAAAGTGGGTCTAAAACCGGAAAACCCGAAAACATCAAAATGGATAGGTTAGAACCGGATAAAGTGAATTTAAAACCAGAAAACCCGGAAAAACCAGAATTTGTTGGTAATTACTTGCTACTTAGTAGGTTAAACTGCGAAAATGTTCATATTGATATCCCGACTTTGTGGGATTGCAACTCATTGAATATGAAACCAAAATTAACAAAATTATAGTAAAAAATCATCTACAAACTCTAAAATACACTCTGGAAAAAAACTTCATGTAAATCTGACTTTAAATGAATGTGATATGCATGTGTTAACATTTTCACATAATATAAAGTACAAAAACAAATAATTGAAAAGCTGAAAATTTTCAGTTTTGATATTCTAACTTCGAAGGACTGTAAATCATTGAATTTTAAACCAAAAATGACAAAATTATAATATAGAATCATGTATAAACTGTAAATTATAAATTGGAAAAAACCACATGTCAATCTAACTTCAAATGAATTAAATATGCATGTTTTAAAACTTTCACCTAAAAAGAATAAAAAAATAAAAATAAAAATAAAAATAAAAATAAAAAAAAACTTTGAGCATTGATATATCAACTTTGGGAGACTGTAAATCAATGAATATAAAACTAAAAATGGCAAACTTATAGTCTAAAATCATGCACAAACTACATATTGGAAAAAACCATATGTCAATCAAAGTTGAAACATATGAGATATACATCTTTTAAACGTTTCACAAAAAACCAATTTCAACCCTAAAAGTGGTTCCGGTTCCCAAAATCATTTCCGGTTTTAGACCCAGTTACTCGGACCCGATGGACCCAAACACGGATTACCCGGTACCCAGATAAAACCAATTTTTGAACCCGAAACCGGAACCGGTTCTATATATTTCGGTTCTAGTGGTTCATGTTCCGATCCGGTTTTCCGATTCTAAATCTCATCCCTATCACTGGTATTGCGCTTTTATCTTTACTTCAAAACTTCACTTCTAATTGATATCTTTGTTGAGATCAAACTCATGTTATGTAGAAGTTAGGACTAAGCTTTAAGCAAAAGTCGATGTCACACTCTTCTGAAGACTTCATCGGTAACTTAACCATCATCATTTAGATTAGATTACACGTCTCAACATCGTCAACACGATAACATGTTGCTATTACTAATTGTTTCATGTTACACACATACATAAGCATCAAGTAAGAGGAGATATGGTATACTCAGACATTTTGTTGAAACCGCATCAGCAAAATATCCATCCTCACTCAACTACTTAATATGCATGGCTGGTGTTCTTGCATATGTATGTCCTGAAAAAGGAGGATGGGAATAGAAAGAGAGATTATATGAGATAGGTTTTTACGTTACCAGTGCAACGATTTCACCACATCACGTAAGGGGTGTTTTTGTTTGGCAATGCATGCCACATAGACACCTGCACTTTATGTGGCCTCTATATTTGCTTGGGTAGCTAGGCACACCCACCGCTTTTCTCTTCCTCTTTCTCTCATGTTCTCTCTCTTGGGAATGTCTAGGGTTTTGGGCACACCAAACAGCCCCTTACTCTCAAGTCATATATTTTAGGTTCTATTGCAACTTGTGATTTTATATCAATATTTTTGAGAGTATATCTATACATATCCTGTTAGTGCTCCAAAGTCAAATACTTTAGGTTCTACTATAACTTTCTGTGAAGTCATATAAAAACTGAACGCCGTTAAACATAAATGATTAAAATTGATCTCCATTAAACAATTGTTGAAGGTAAATTAGAAATCAAAAACTCCCTGCTGCTACATATAACATATTACCAAACACCAAAATTTTCATCATAGCTTTAATCCAAACAACACCAGCATAAAAAGAGATGATAGAACTTTTGCAACAATTCAAAGACACCCACCATTGATGACCGCACTTAGTTTCTGAAGCCTCTGCTGTTTCTTCTTCCTCTTGCCTTCTCAAACTTCCTCCCCGTGGATCGCACATACGGCTTGGTATGGCTGTGTGGCACACCAGGAGCTTTTCCAAAGTGCCTCACTGCTTCCCTGCAGTTCTTTGGACCTCTAAGAAGTACCTGCAAAAGCCATAAACACATGCATCCATAACTACATTTAGACATAAGATTGAGCATGAACAGAAACATAAGAAATTGATTATGATTAGCTTACCGTGTTCTGGCCAAGAGGAGCTCGAAGGGCCAACTGGTCAAAAGTCAGGCATTCACCACCAGCCTTCTCGATCCTGGCCCTTGCAGTCTCGGTGAACCTCAGAGCAGTGACCTTGATACATGGGATTTCATCAACCCTAACATCATCGGTGACTGTGCCAACAACCACAGCAATCTTATCGTCCTAATTAAATCAAAATCACAAAAATAAAGAGTTAGATCACTTCAATTGATTACACCACTATTCACAGATAATAAAATAGCATAATCTTTTCCAAGCCCGATGTACATAAACGAAATTGCAAACAGACAAACCTTGCCAGCCATGTAACGGATCAAGCGAGAGAGAGAAATCGGGGGCTTGTTGACTTTGCTCATAAAGAGCCTCTTCAGTATCACTGCATTGAAGTTACTTCCGGTCCTCCTCACCAAAAACCGATAAAGCTGAAACAATTTTCAAACAAACGTTAACAATTTCGGTAAACCTACAAAAAATGAAAGCAGACAGAGTGAAATCTGATGAGTAGGAAAACCTTGACGAGGAGCTTAAGGTAGATATCATCGGAACGTGGAGCATTCCTTTTGGTCCTCTTGCTCTTTCCACCAGCAACAAGATCTATACCCTGATATCATGAAACGGATTTGAATGCATTAGCGTACAAATTAAAATGTAAATAGAAGAAGATTGTTAGCTTGATTTGGGTTCAAGGGAATTGAGAATACCATGACGGCGACGGCTGCGTGTCCCTGCAGAAAGAAGAAGGAGACGAACGAAAGAAAAAGGAGTTAGGGTTTATGAACACAACGCTATAAGTGCTGGTCTATGTAGTCGTAGATAGACTGGATTGTGAACCGATGTTTGGATCCGTTTGTATGATACTAATCATTCTAAAAAAGAGCCCAAGTATTTTGGCCCAATATATAAAAACTTAATGTGTGATGTTATATTATATTCTTTATTTTTTTATTAAAATTATTTTATTTATGCTTCGATTTTGTCTAGTTTAATGTTATGTTCCGTGGCTATTTATAGTATTGTAATTTTGCTAAAACAATAATCATATGTACGTTAAAACAATACAGTGGCTTCAGAGGTGTTGATCTTAGATCTTTTTAAAATAATATAGCCACAAAACATTAACTTAGGCAAGATCAAAACATAAAATGATTTTTTTAGCATCGAGAGATATTAGATTGGGTTTTCTAGGTTTTCTATGTTTTCTAATATTACCTATCTACTAAAATAGAGAAATTGTAATTTATACCCATTTATCAATGTTTGATAATTTGATACCAAACTAATGTAGTGGAAAAAATAAAATTGTACGTTAGACTACTTTTTATTGCTTTTGTTTTATAAAGAAAGCATGAAACTATGAAACTCAACAAACAAAGAAAATTGATGTTGTATATTGAGACTTCTTTTTGGAAACGAAACTTCTTTAAGGAGGGTTTCATGCTAGATTTCGTGTATCGATTAATCATCCGATGCAAACATAAGGCATAGTCTCATGTCCTGCAATCACTACAGACGAACATCCATGACGCATGGGTTTAGTGGCGTCAGGATTTGAACATTGGTTAATATATGCATTACCTTTATTGGGTTTAATAAGATGATACAAACCATTTAACCTCTTACTCGGTCTCCAATCCCTAATCCTCAATGTAGTCGGCGCTGGAACCTGCGCCGGTCTGGCTGCGAGCTATGGACAGTTGGTTTTCACGTGAACAACCTGATGACAATGATAACATATCCTCGTATATGATGCAGGGGTGGACTAGTGATAGTCCCTAGCATAGTGCCCCTCCTTGCCACACTTTTGGCACCCATTACCCGCTCGACAAACTCCATGATGACTATTGCCGCACTTTCCACAAGTGCGGCTCTGCTGACCCCCGGTCCTAGAATCAGCGGTATTAGACCGCTTCAACACCGACTGAGACTGTGTCAGGGCCTGACACTGCTCTTTTAATTGCAACTCAATCTCCAACTCACACCGCCTAGCGGCCTCCTGTAAATCTAGAAGAGTATTACATCGCTGCATGGCAATAAACTGGCAGATGTATGTCTTGAGCATGCTCAGATAAAGAGTCATCTGAGCCTTCTCAGAAGCAAACTCTGGGCAGAACATCGCCCTCTCGGTGAACATGCAGGTGATCTCCGACACCGACTCATCATCTTGTCTCAAACTCAAAAACTCCTGTGACAATTGTTCCCGCTCAACCCGTGGAATGTATCGGGCACGGAACATGTCCCTGAACTGCTCCCAATTAACATCAGCTCTTTAATTATCAGTGTACGACCCAATCGTCAATCTCCACCATTCCTTGGCCCCGGACCTAAGCAGGTTTAGAGGACATCTGACCTTCTGGTCAGTAGGACACGAGTAAGTAAAGAAACACCCCTCCACATCATAAGTCTACCTCATAGCCTTGACAGGGTCCTAAGTCCCATCAAAAGTAAGGGGCTTTGTGTTATCGAAGTCCCTATCCTGGAAGCCCCAAGTGTCTCCTACTCCTCCCCCTGCCGTCGATACAACCGATGTGGTTGCAGCGGCAGCCGTCTCCGCAAGGGTTGTGTATCTCTCATCGAAGTACTCCATCATAGCGGTCTTGATATACCCAAACAACTCAATAATCTGACCCCGGATAACCTTGACCACCTCCTTGCGGATGATCTCCCTGACTTGATCCTCGGTCAACACAGGCCCTTCCTGAACAATGACCTCAGGCGCTACTGGGGCCTCCTGATCGCCCTGTCCTGATCCTGATCCGGATCCAGACACAAAACGTCTCGTAACCACCATACTGAAAATATAACAGGAAGATATCACAAAATCCGCATAAATAACTGGGAACCAACTTTCAACTAAACCCTAGGGGTTGTGACTTCCTTGTTACGTGTATGGGTCCCATGCTTTCAGTAGTGCGAGACCATACTACCTTCCACAGCTACCCATATTTGTCTCAAGTATCATCACAACACCCTGACACTATACATGCATATTGTGACAACCCGAAATTTCTTTTTGTACGAACCGTTTAAAAATCAATCGATTCAGATTGATTTCTGCTCTCGTTAGCACTATTTTGGGTCTAATTGAATATTTTAAGCTCAGTGCAATCAAGGTTTGGGTCCAAGAACGCGTTTTCCTAAGTCATATCATAGCATCTGGGTCGAACATCCCTTCGAGAGGAGTGTACGGCCGCAAACTCGAGTTTACGGCCGTACACCCCACCCACCCCCTTGGTCGAAAACTCATCCCTATATAAAGGATGAGTGGCCTTAATTTACCACTTTAATCACTTCAAAAGGATTTCTCTCTCTACTCTCTCTCTACGTCCATCGAATTTTCCTCAAGATCTTCAAGATTGTAAGTGTTTCTCCACCTTGAGTTTCATTCCTCTATCTAGTGGTAAATCCATGTTTCTATCTCATTAATCTAATCCTTGTTTAGATATTCATCTCTCACCAAGAACAACAAGAACAAACACTAGTTCTTAGTAGCTAACAACCCTATTTCAAGCTTCCTTATAGTAAGTAACTGCTTCATATGCTTGTTGTCTACTAGAAATTCTTGTTTTTCACTGTAAAATCGACCCAAAGGACATGATCATGGAAGGTTTATGGGTGTAAACCCATGTGTACGACCGTACACCCCTCATTGTCCGCAAACCCTAGTGGTTGGTTGATTATTGGCCTTAAACTCATCCTAAAGCTAAGTATGGGACTTAGAACACTTCCAAGGGGCTAGAAAGGACCTTAAAACACCTCAAATGCACACTTCATCATGAGTGTACGGCCACAAACTCCTTGGTCGTACACCCATTGGGTCGTACACCCATTGGGCCGTAAACCCATGGGCTGCAAACCCATTAGGCCATAAACTCATTGGGAAAAAAACCCATGACTGTATACCCTTTGTGCGGTCGCAAACTCCCCTCTTTCAATCACATGTGATTCTAACACTTAGATTCAAGTGTTTCCTAGCCTCTAAGGTGCTTTCCTTCCATAATTAGTGGTGTTATACCCTAATATAATACATATACGTGCTATTATATGTTAAATAGGATCTGCTTGTGTTAGAGACTTCATTTGACACTCAGCTTCCTAACGACTTACATTCGCATCCCACATCAAACTGTGAGTTCATACCCCTATGTTTTTATGGTTTTAAACGTTTTCAGGGGGAATACAAGCCAAACATAAAGGTTTTCGATGCATCAAAACTTATGCAATTTATACAAATCAATGGTTTTCATAACGCATTTAGATACTCTATCCCTTTTGTATTATGCAGAGCATACGGGACGTTTTCTAAATTTAATTGCATAGTTTTTAGAACAGTTTCACGAACATAACAGTCAAACTATAATGGGTATAGGTTAGGGAATTTCATTACCGGTTTTACAGATACAAGCTACTTACACGGTTGAACATATAAACTATAATAGATTTAGTTTATCCATTATTACATACAGATAACAAGAGTGTCATACTAAATAATTATTTTACGTATAATTATTTATACTCTACCAAGTACACAAATGATTTCTAATACGAGAACAACGATACATAATTTCATGTAAACTAGTTAATACAGGATTGTGAGACATCTCTTAATTGTACCCTTCGGGGTACAGGTAAATCCTCTACTTTTAGTATAGCTAGAGTCTCTTGGAGGGAGAGCATGAGATTTGTGAATAAATCTATTCGGGACCAACAATCCCACACCTGAATTGTTAGTTATAGTTAGACAGACATGCATGGGGTGACAAATTTCGTAACATATGACGCTTGAAGAAATGCCGCAGAGGTCATTAATCATATTTCCATGGTTATACAAACTCACAATAGTATAAACTAACCTTTGTTGACGGGATTATCACTCTTCAATAGTTTTATTTTAATTAATAAGACTACCTACATACTACAGTGGAAGGCATTCTAGGGATACAACATTTGGTTTTATTTTAAGTAATAAGACTACTTTACAAACTGGTGGTAGTCAGGGTTTTCAAACAAGAACATACATACTGGTGGTAGCCAGGGTTTTCAAACGAATCATACTATTCATACTGAAATCAACAAACATGATAGAAAATATTGGATTTTCTGGAAAAGAAAACAAACATTTATACAAATTCAGTGACAAGTTTTAAATTCAAAAACATGCTTATGAACTCACCAGCTTTATGCTGATATATTTTCAAAACCGCTTGTATTCTCAGAACATTAGTAGGCAGGTACACTAGCCGACTTTTGGAGAAGACGATGCATTTTGGAGTCTCATCTTTATCTTTTGCTACTTTTGATGTATACAAACCTTATATCAAACAAATGTAAATATTCATATTATAATGCAATGGTTGTGTTTACTTTGATTACTATGATGCAATTATTGTGATACTACATATGACGTCCTCCACCCCCAGACGTTTCCGCCGTTTGTTTTTACGGTTTGGGGGTGTGACAGATTGGTATCAGAGTTATTGTTTATAGTGAACTAAGTTTACCAAACCTTACAAGGTATACAACTATAAACACAAAGGGGCTGAAGTGCTATGAACTAAAAGTATACTTTCCAAATATAAGTATCTTACAAAAAGTATACAAGTATACCTACATACCATAAACAATATCATAAGTAGAATAAAACAAAAGTATCTGGATGTTGGACACTACGGTTAAACCTGGGCAGTTATGTCATCATGTCTAGGGTAAATATAGCATGATCAACTATATTTATCCGGGACACGAGCAAAATGTGTTTGGGAGTGACTGTGGTGTTGCAGCAGGCCTAAAAATTACCAAGTATATACAACAAGATATCAATAAAACAAAACATACAACTTAAAATACTA